AGCGTCTCCCTACCAGGAATCTCCAAAAAAACAAGGGCAAACAAGGGTCCAGTTTGCCTGACTCTCTTCCTCCCTGGGGCTCCCCCGGCAGCTTCCCATGGCCGGCATCAGAGCCGGGTTCACAGCCGGCACTCCGCCTGTGCTGGCTGGAGTGAGCACTCCGGCTTTGGGATAAAACCAAACCCAACCCGCGCCGTGGCTTCGCCTTCTCAGCAGCGCCGCAGCATGGCTGTATAAACGAGTTAACCCAGACCTCAGCAGACTCTTAAAGGTGTTTGTAGGGAAGTAAAACACCAGGGATCTGCTCACAGCGCAAGTACACTGAGAACTGCACCCTGTTCCCATGCAGCGCTGGTACCCTTCCCCTGACCCGCTCCCCTCCCCAGCACAGATGGGTACGATTGGTTCCACACAGGTCTGGCTACCTTCGTTCTGCCATTTAATAGGATTTTCTAGAAACTCAGCCATCAGCTCTGAGTGAAGAAAAATGCTTTGCCGAGTTCCCTGCTCTGTCCTTTCTAGGCAATACCCTGCAGGTAGAGGGGCACACCTCTGCCGACTGCAAGGGGAGAGCAGGGGCCGGGCAGCTCTATCAGCCCATGCCTTTGCATTTCTCCCTACAGATGCGGATGCCCAGGCTGGGGCACACCTGCCTGACAAGCCTGGACTGGCTGAAGTTTCTTAGTATGGTTTTTTGGTGGTGTGCTGCTGGTGTTTTTCATAATGTACCTTTTCTACGAGACTTCACAGAATCATTAAGGTTGGACAAGACCTTTAAGACTATCAAGTCCAACCGTCAACCCAACATCACCATGCCCACTAAACCATGTCCCAAAGTGCCACATCTACATGTTTTTTGAATGCACTTACACTTGTAAGACTAATCTCATATTCCTTTGCAACCAGTTCTCATTCCTGGATGCTGGCATGTCACAGACACATCAGCTCCACAGTATCTGCTGTGCCCGACCCTAATTACACTAACATGTACAGGTCCTGCCATGCAGAGAGTCACGCTGTGCGAGGTGAGGATCAGCAACTGCAGCTCCATGTCCAGATGAAGAGGCACCACACGACAGCTAAAGGGCAGGAGAAGTCCTGCCACCCCCATCCGAAGGGCTGGGAGGGGACACGTGCCCTGCTGGGTGTGCAGAACAAAGCAGCGAACAGAGCCAAAACCCAAATCCCTTTCTCTGACAACTCATACCTGCAGTACATCCTCCTCCTCACATGCAGTACATGGCCACAGCCTCACCCCAAGCCACCCACTGTTTTTGGTTCATGTCTCACTACACTACAAGTTGCCTGTTCCCAGTCTGTTGGGATGGGTTCAAAACTCTGATGAGTTACACGGGGGGGAAGCGCTAAAAAAAAATATTTACGTAGACAAATTAATACCTGTGTCAAATCAACAGCCTTCACCTCAACCCTGCAACCTTTCAAAATAAATTTACAGTGCTGGCTTAAGGCAGGGAACCCCAGAGGAGATCAACTATTAGCAATATAAGACACCCAGACCTATTGTCTCTCGAACTTTCAACAGCAGAGAAAGCATTAACTTCAAGAGGTGTCAGGGTTGAATATTTTGTGACATTCATTTGTACTGCATCTCTCCAATTCTCTTTGTTTGTGATAGAAAGCATGAACAAGACTGACTCAAATCGCTCTTCTCTACATTCATGATTAAAATATCTACAAGAGGTGGACATACTAGGCACATTTTCAACTAGGGAAAAAGTAGCAGACAGGGAAATTAATAGTATATAGATATAGCCCTAGACAGAAAATTTTTTCCCAATCTACCCTGAGACTCAGCCTCCTTGATAAAGTATTTTAATAGCATATTTTAGGGGTGAAGTTTTTAAACAGACAAATTGTGGAAATAATAAAGCCCTAACACACCATCACTGACAAATTAACTGTTAAAGCAAGGCTTGGGATGAAAACTGCCTACTGCCATAGTATTACTGAATTCACTCTTCTGCATTGCTGTTTACATACCAGGAACACCACCAGCATGTAGGCTTACATTTAAATGCATGCCTGGAGGCGCACAGTTTCCAAAAGCAGATTAACAACAGTATGTATGACTCTGCATCTTGAGGATTGCAGAACTCCTCAGAAACCTACCTGGAGGCTCTGCAACACCTCTGGAGCTCAGGTTCACATGCCCTTTGTAGCCAGGTCTGCTGCAAGCTATAAAAGGGGTCCAGATCCTCATCCAAATGCCCACACCCAGCCTAGAGGCGGGTGGTGAGGAGGGGACAGAGAAGCAGCCACATGGAGGAAGAGGATGCTCAGTTGGGCAGTGCATCCAAGGACCTGAAACACCAGAAGGAAAAACTACTGCCGCAGAAGTGCCACCAATGCCATGACAAACAAAAGAAGCTCAAAGGACAGGCAAGGGCAGTAGTGTTGTTATTCAGGCTGTAATCACTATGGGCATGGAAGATAAGTTTTCCATAATTCCAGGAGGTTTTAATGACAATTAAATAACCTGTCATTATCCTTAATAACATACAGGTGAATTGAACTTTGCCTACAGAAGCAGTGGTGGCCAAGGTCAGTAATAAAAGAGGTCGATACAAGAAGCCAGCAAGAGAGCAAAGCCCCACATTTTCAAAGACAACTCCTGTGGCATTTTACACTTTGATATGACAATGATGTCTAAAAACAATCATATTTACAGGATAACAGTAAATACAATTGTTTGCTTCTGGGTATATTCTTTGAAACTCAGTATGTGCTGATAAGTTTAACAGAGAAACTTTCATTCCAGCACAGCAGAAAAAAAGAGTATTCTATCGCTTACAGGCAGAGATACTTACTCCAGATCCCAGATGCAGACCGGCTATCAGAGTCAGGCCGTCTGCAGTGCTGTAGTTAAGACTGTCAGCACAGTGCCCTATTCCTCTACTGCACAGCTCATACCTTCATTTGTAACAAAGGTTGCTCTGGGCTCAGGTTTGACATAAGAGTCTTAGCTGAGCAACATCAGTATTTTAAAAATAAACTTTAAAAACCCAGTGGCCATTCTCTTTTAGTGACAATTGCCAGTCAATTGGCTTGCTTGGTCTGGATTTTTTACCTCTGCACTCCTGTAACTCAAAAACGTCTCTAGAGCAAATAAAGGAATCACTCAAGTATTAAATAATAAAGAGGAGTTATGTTTAAATAACTACCTAACTATATGTGGCACTAATGAATTTAAACAGCTCTGTCAAGTACAGAAGTACTGAATGGTTTTGCAATGCTCAGATTTTTTTATTTTAAAGGAAGTCAATTTACATTCTGGTTTGGCAGAGGATGGGCAGATTATGGCTCTATGGCCATGGCTTGCGTTGACTTTAGTGGTGCTGCATCTACTTGTCCTCCCACAAACACATTTTCAGTAGACAGATCAAGGTCTCAATATTTGATAATATAACTGACAGTCATGTTCCTTCACTGTATACATGGAAATCTTCAATAAAAAGTACATTTTTATTGTTGTGTCAATAAAAGAAGCATATGGGAGGACAAACACTTATCCTTTCAGGACCATACAGCAATGCACAAGTTGGGTGTGCTTGCAAAACCTGGAATACAGCCTGTAAGGGCAATGTTTCTGTGCTGCCTTAGTACCTACAAGCACGGCAGGTTTGCCAGTGCAAAACATGTTGGGTGCTTTTGCTCACAGCTGAATACATCAACTGATCTTTTCGGACCAAATAGGGTCACGTTATGCGTGGAAGTAAATTTTGTTTCTTACTGCCTTGGAAATGCCAACTGGGCTTAGAGTTGAGCCAGGTTTTCTCTCTTGTATACATCATTATCAACCGTAACATGAATTCTCCATCTTGCCTGACCTCAAGCTAAACCTACAGCTGCATCTCTGCTCCTCTGCTGTTCCAGAGAGGGTTGACAGGTTCTGACCGATGGGAGAAGAGCCTGCCCTGGCTCCACAGCAGCAAAAGTCATGACTAGCAGAGCTGCTGCCCCTGGACCTCGTCAGCTGGAACCTCCCTGCAGTCCTGAGAACATGAGAAACACTTGGAAGGCTGCTGTAAAACAGCCCCCTTTTCTGCAGAATGGGGCTTTCTATGGCATTGCAATCTTCAACAAGCAGCTTGAAAGCCAGTGTGCTGCACCATGCCCTGGAGCCTAACGTGCTGCTCACGAGTGCTGCCTGCACCCATCTGCCCTGGTGACCAACACCAAAACCCAGCCCTCAGCCACAGCCTCCTCCTGGTCACCGCAACACAAGAGTAATCCAACTTACTGGACATTTGGTCCCCAAGTCCCTACTAAGCAACAAAGAGAGCTTGCACTACGTGTGCCAAACTGCTCAGGGGGTGTGAAACCAGCCGGGTGCCACCACATTATTTCACAACCCGCATACGTGTGGTGGCATGTCTTGGGCAATCACTGAGCAAAGATGGCACAAAAAACAGCACAGAAGAGTGCTGCTGGCTGAATGCCATATAGCTCAAAATCCATAAGCTGATACATTTTCATGGTCCCCAGAAAAGATAAGCGTTACTTGCAGTGCAAGTACTACAGTGACCTACATAAGCACAGTTCTTTTGTAAACAGGAGTTAAGAATGACAGGAACAAGCAGCTAACAGGGAAACAGTGGCAGATTTTAATCATCGTTGGCTTTAAGCAAACTATAACAATATTCCCACACCTTCACCCCCATCCCCCGTCTACCCTACCTGCACAGAGCAGCTCAATTGCGTCTCAAGAAAAATCTTCTCTGCAAAACAAGCATTATATTACCGTGGTCCATTTGTCCTTGGCATTTAAACAGAGCAGCAGGATTTTCTGAACAAGAAAGCCTCAGTTTCTTGGCAGGCTCCAAAACTCACGCAATGTGTTTTTAAAGAGACAGGTCACTCCTAATAAATAAGAAGTAACCTCATCCCTGGGATTAAATGCCCAAAACTGGAATGAGTTACCAGAGGAAGGAAAACCAGATCTCTTTTAGTAAATCAGGAAGCAGGGGATGCCACAGTACGTGCCTCCGCTTGGCCTCTATTTGGAGGTACATTTTAGTGATGAACTAAAAGGAGACAGGGGACACCTGGAGAACAGGACCAGCCTTTCAGAGCTACCCAAGGCAAGTACAGCACCCAGGGAGTACTGGAGATGCTGGGACATCTCAGCTCCTGATCTCACATCCCAGCTACAAGGCTGATGCCAGGATGACTCCAGACCCTTCTGTTCTGACCAACTTGAAAAAAGGCAAAGCCCTTAGCTGAAGTCCAGACCCCACAAACACCAGTTTCAAATGCTACCAAGAGTTTTTTTTTAAATAATAATTAAAAAAATCGGAGAATTGGGGGCAGAAGGAGGGAAGAGCTGGAAATCAGAGGATTTGGGGTTTGTTGGCTGGAGGACAGGGATAGCGTGGTTTCAACATGTAGAGCTTGTGGTACACAAGCAAGCTCCTGCTGTGGTAGCGAGCTAGGGGAACTGCAGAAAACCACTCACAGTTGTCGAGACCTTTCCTTCGTTCTTCTGCACGTAGACAATCGCATCCCGCACCAAGGAGAAGAAGTTCAGAAGGACGTGCTCCATGTCATAGATGCCATGCATGCCTTTGGTCAGCCCCTCCAGCGACCCGATGTACTCTCGCCAGTGGTTATCGATCTCTGCGACACCCGCTAAGCATCCTTGCATCACCACGCCGCAGTAGCCAGCACAGGGCTTGGCCAGGAGGAGCCCCTGGCAGTGCGAGCAGTACCACATCTTTAGCAGTGCCCGTCCACAGTCCTTGCTGAATTTTAAGTGGTCAGTAGTATTTATCACCTCGATCCCCAGGTTGAGTGCCTGCAGAAAGACTCGCGTGGCCTGCAGCGACTTGGACACCTGTGTCATCATCGTCTTCGGGTAGTTACCAAAGACTCTGAGGTCTCTCCTGGCTGCCCGCAGGCATTCAGTCATTTCCACGGAAGGATCGGGGAAGCCGGGATTAATCAAGTGAGAATAAACCAAAGGGAATAAACTGTCAAAAAATTCATTTATCATGTCATTTACGCTTATGTCAGAGCCCAATATGTACAGTGAGACATCAGTAAAAAGTTCTCCAACAAACTTAAGAGTTCTGGGCCCCATGCTCTGGTAGTGGGTCCTAAACATGCTGTTGGTGAAGTTTCTTGCATGCCGTACTACAATTTCAAAGGCTTCTGCAAAACAAAACAAAACAAAAAAAAAGAAGTTATTAAGAGGTGATGAGCTCAAGAACAGGGAGGATAACACCGTACCGCATTACTGCCGCAAATGCTGGTCCTACCCTGGCCGCTTTGGGTCACGCGCCTGCTGCAAAACTTACCAGCATCAGCGATTTTCAGAGGAAATGCATATATTCTTTAAACACAAGCCACATTTCAAAATGGCAAAAACTATGATCTAGTTAACATTTCAGCTTTTAAAGAAAATATTGATTCAAGAAAAGGGCTAGACTGCAATTTCTTTCTCTCCCTCTTTCATATCGATTTGAAATTAACAGGAATTCTATCTCAAGACTTAATTTAAGGCAGAGGCAAATGTTTGACAAACTGTACAGTGTTTAAAATCAAGAAACACTAAATGCTGACATTCCATTATGAAAAGGAAAATATTTACAGGAGCTTAATCACAGAGGATATTTGGACTCAAGTCCCAGCACCCGCCTTGCACTAAGTGTCCTCAAAGCCATGTGAAAAGCCCCTGCAGCGCTGTAGCTTTCCCAAATGCACCAGGCTCACTTCAGCTGCAAATCCAACGTTTCATCTGCCCTGGACATGAGCTGCTCTGTGGTCCAAAGCGATGCTGAGAGCCAGTGATGCAGTGTCCACCGGCGGGTGCCCAGCCAGGCCCACACTCACACACATCAGGTTGTGCAGAACCGCCCCGTGAAGCTGAAGTTTTACATGGAGACCATCAATTTGCTAAGAAGAGTCAGGGTGCATTTTCCCCCTCTCCACTTTCAAAGACTTGAGGACTTTCTGCCCACACCTCCTCCACGTGGCAAACAGGAGAGACTCCAGCAGCACAGTCACTGCACAGTTATTCCCTTAATCACAGCCCTCCACACCAGGAGCCTTCCAAAACACCCGTACCCAGGTATGTAAAGACAACACACCTACACACACTTATTTGCAAGGTAAAGCATTAGAAGGGGAGGCCACCAGTGCAAACTAAATTCTTTTTCTTCAGGCAGCTCTCTCTACCAGCTTGTGTCCCACCCTCCAGGGTATTATTCATAAAATGCTAAAAATGGTGAACAGCCTCTCAGTTCACAGGTCACTGACACCCCGCGATGTAATCGCTCTCAAATATGCCACTCTGGAAACACACATCCAGGATCAATTTGCATGAAAATTATTCACATTAAATAATTAAAGGGAATGTTTAATTTTTTAAAACCGTAAGTGTTATTTTTCCCATTTGTTAAGGCTGGGAAGCAGCTGAGCATGGCCTGACGCCTCTCCACAGGGGTTCAGTATCAACGCCATCACAAGCAACGTCAGGCCTCGCTGCTCGCCCTGCATAACCTCTCGCATTACTCAAGAGCTTTTAAAACCATCATATCTCCAGGACTTGTTTCTTCCCGGGTGCACCCTAGGCAGGCACGCCTGGCAGGACAGGGACCCACACACCAGCATGCAGAAAGCTACGGTGCAAGGAGCAGTCAAAGCAGAAATTACCCATATACTTTTGCCAACAGCATCTCCATCCCATCTGGTGCCTGCACACCCCCCAGGCCTGCCACTGAAGCATTTTGTCCACAGCTCCCGACACCTCACCGGGACTGCCCCAGCAAGCCCCAAGCAGCCATCTGCGTTCCCATACAACAGCAATCCTTCTTACCACCACAGACTGAGGGATGCCGCGGTGCAAGGACAGTCCCTCTCTCCATGCCTCCTTCTCCGCAACAGTGGGCACAGAATCATAGAACAGTTTGGGTTGGAAGGGACCTTTAAAGGCCATCTAGTCCAACCCCCTGCAGTGAGCAGGGACATCTTCAACTAGAGCAGGTCACTCAGAGCCCCGTCCAGCCTGACCTGGAATGTTTCCAGGGATGGGGCATGTCCCACCTCTCAGGGCAACCTGGGCCAGGTTTCATCACCCTCATTGTGAAAAATTTCTTCCTTAGATCTAATTTGAATCTACCTCTTAGTTTAAAACCATCACCCCTTGTCCTGTTGCTACAGGCCCTGCTAAAAGCCTGTCCCCATCTTTCTTATCAGCCCCCTTGAAGTACTGGAAGGCTGCAATAAGGTCTCCCTGGAGCCTTCTCTTCTCTGGGCTGAACAACCCCAACTCTCCCAGCCTGTCCTCATAGGAGAAGTGTTCCATCCTTCTGATCCTTTTTGTGGCCTCCTCTGGACCCACTCTTCACACCCATACAGAATATTGCAAAGCTCTCCTGGCACAATGGCACGTCCGACACGGAGCAGGGTAAATGTGTGGGCTATGCAAACAGAGCAAATTCTGGTTGCACTGTTATTAAAAGTTTTAAAACAAAGTCTCTTTAAATAGGGCACATGGATTATGAAACTTTTTTTTTTTTCCTTCTTTATCCTCAAGAGCACCAGAATAGGTTTTGCCTCAAAGCGCACAAAGAACTTTTTGGACCAGTGTTTTTTTGACAGCAGTGCAGACGGTGCCAGGATTTTCATGCTGTGCCTCACCATTTGCCTTTAACCTCTTCTCTGTTAGTTCCCTTAGAAAAAGTCATCCCTCTTCCCTTTTCTCGCTCCTCTGTGCTTTGCAAGTTATCATCACAGCCAAGAGACCATTGATTAGAAAAATATTCCAAGCTCCTATGCAAACCTCCTACGGCGAGAAACGCTTCAGAAAGAAATCGAGAACAGTGGCGTATCAGAAGAGCATGCACACACAGTCCCACTGCTTTAAAGGTCATGACATCCACATAATTTTTATCATAATAACTGGCTAAGAGTGTCTATTTTATGCATCTTGGAGCCTTTGCGATATCCATTAGAGAGCGCAACAGGGACTATAAAAGCCCATGGAGCCTCCTGCTGCCCTACTAATAGATGCAAGAAATAATAAAACTTTGTAAAAAAAAGAGTCTTACACACATCCAAAATCTCTTTACACCCAACTCCCCTAGCTTCTTCAGAAGAAGTTGCTTCTTCTGAAACATTCCTTGCAAAGGGCCGGCTGCAAGAATATTAAAGTCCCAGCTGCCAGCAGCAGCAATGACCCACGGCCAGACTCCGAGCACTTCAAAGAGCAGGAAGCTTTGCGGGTCAGTCCCCCGTGCTCCCACGAGCGAGCCTCGCGGGGAAACGGAGGGGACGTCGCATTACAGAAGCGGCACGGGCTTCTGATCCCCCATAAAATCCCACAGCCTGGATTTGCTGCTGGTAAACTCTGGCCTGCTCGTAACAAGGCATTATTGAAACGCCTATAGCTGGAGGACAACTTCTTTTTTTTTTTTATTTCAAGGATATTTTCAAAAGCCGCAATTTAAGGCAGCTGGTTCACAGGTCTAGCTGAAGCAGAGTAAATACCTTAACGGCACGGATAAAGCATAGCATCAGACTTGCACCCAACTTCCAGCAGGCAAAGGTACTGCAAGGCAGAGTGGAGCTCATGTTTTACAATCTCCTACAGTAGCTATGCACACACAGCAGAACTCGACCATGCTGCACGGTTATTTATCTAGTTTTAAAATATTTTCTTGTGTGATTAGCAGAAAAAAAACCACACCCCACTTTTGCATGCACTAAACCTTAAAGAGCCCCATTCCACAAGTCTGGCTCAGGGAGATGACAGCCCAAGCTGCTGCAGACCACAACGCCAGAAACTCAGTCCTGCCTGAGTAGCTCTTAAGCACATTTCATCCACAGGTACCTTAAAGGTACTGAACACACACACAAATTGCTCTCCAAAGTCGTTTCAGCCAGCACAGGGACAAAACCTGGGAGCAACGTAGCACTGCACAGCACCACGGTGCTCTACCCGAGGACGGATGGGAAGAACCATACCGTGGCCAGGCAAAACAACGGGACCGTATGCAGGTTATGAGCCGGAGCACCATCAGCAAAGCATCATACCTGGTGCACTGGTACTGTACATCTGTTGACTACCTCTGTCAGGGGCAGTTTCTCAGGGCTCTCAAAGGATGTGTGAAACAGCTGAACCTCTACTCTAGAGCACAGTCATCAGGCACCATTTGAAAAGCATGGGCTATTACTTATTTTTCCAGCAGGACTCTCGCTGAAGCATCTGGAGAGGAACTGCTGCTCTGTTCCAGCAGCCAGGAGGGAAGGACTAAGCTGCTTTCAAAGTGCAAAAGCTCACCAGAACGCAGCCCAAGGGGAGCTGCACGGCCACTGCAGACTGGCAATTAAAAAAAAAAAAAATTATAAAAGAGCGTAAGAGTGCCTTGAGTGAGGATTACTGGCAGGAGAAGGAAATCACTGCGTTCCCAGCTCAGACAATAAAAGACTGCTGCTTAGTAAAAACGCCAGCTTTCCTGAGCTGCAGTTACTTCAAAGGGGCCGGTGCCGGGGCCGGAGGAGCTCCGGATTAACCTGCTGGCTCTCCCTGGCTGCAGGAGGCTCCAGCCGAGTCTGGGACTTGATGGGTTTATTTAAGAGATTGCGTGATGCAGTCGCCTAAACCGCAAGGAGCCGGCGCGAGCGACCCCGGCGAGCCAGAGGCGAGAGCCGAAATCCGACAGCGCCTGCAGAGCTGGGGCAGCTACAGAGACAGCACCCAGCCCTGATCCAGCACCCCAGGTCTGAGCTCAGCGGGTGCAGCTTTACAAGCAACTGAAGGTGTCTGGAAAGGTGCTGCTGCCAGGAACAGGGAGGTCTGTCCTCCCTCTGCCCTCCCATGCCAGCTCACCAAAAACCAGCAGCACAGTAGCCATTGTGGCAGCCACATGGAAGCACCTCCCTGCGCCACCGCGGCCACGGGGAGAAGGTGTGAGCTGTCACACAGAGGGGAAAGCGGCATCCGCCGTGGCGGTCAGACACGAGGCTGTGCCGTGGGCTTCGTGCCTGCCCCTGCTACCGTGCCGCTGCGGTTTCGCTGCAGACACAAGCTCGCCGCACGGACAGCTGCCCTTCTCTGTGCGTCACGCAGCACACCGCGCAAGTCCTCTTGGGCAAAGGCACACCAAGGAGGAGGGACCTGCACAGCAAAACCGGCTGCATTAGCAGCC